GCACACGGCCGGCTCATGTTCAGAGAGAGGTTGCTCACCCTCCCGCCGCTGCTCGCAGAGGCCCCGCTCGCTCTCCTCCGTAGCCTCCAGCTCGCCGTGGCTGCTGCGCTTGTGCGTGGCCAGCGTGGAGGTCTGGCGGTAGGTCTTCCCACAGCTACTACAGGTGTAGGGCTTGCAGTGCGTGTGGACCACGTGGTGCTTGTAGAGGCTGGAGTACTCGGTGAAGCGCTTCCCGCAGCTCGGCACGGTGCACACGTACGGCTTCTCTCCTAGGGCAGAGGCCACAGGTCTCGACCTCCTCACGCTGGGGGAAGGGATTCCCCATCAAGAGGGACGAGCTGGACACAGACCACTGGAATAACGATCAGCCCAATACAGCAATTCCTACTTCTCCAACTCCCTGATGCAATGCCTGGCCCGGAAGCGAGCGCTGCGGTCCCACAGCCACGCGGTCAGTGCAGCTGATGGGGGGAGCCGTCTGCGTTTCACCCTCCCCTGCTCTTACCTGTGTGGATCCTCATGTGGTTCTTGTAATTGGTGGCACTGGTGAAGCCCCTTCCGCAGCTCGGCTCCGGACACATGTAGGGCCGCTCGCCTGTGTGCGTTCGGATGTGAACCTTCCGGATGTTGGACGTGGTGAAGGAGCGGCCGCAGCCCACAAAGGGGCACTTGAAGGGGCGCTCACCTGCATTGAGAGATGAGAGTCCTGCTACAACGCGCTCCCTGGAACACCCCAGACACCTGTACCCCTCTGCTGCTCCGCAGTATTCCAACAAGACCTCAGATCAGCCCCGACGGGTGGCACAGCTCCTCTAGCAACATCGGCCGCCCCATCCCTTTCGCTCTGCTGTGCGGAACTGAGGCGAGAACCCCCGGTGCTGCCTACGCCACCCGCCTACTTCTGCCTGACAACAGCTTCAGTTCTGCCTTGCTTCGCCCAAAAAGCATGTCCTGGACAAGGGCCGAAGCCTTTAACTTGGAGCCTCTTCCAGTGAGGAGCTCAGCTTTCCTCCTGTGCTGCTCACCCGTGTGCGTCCGGATGTGTTTCTGTAGGTCCCCGGAGGTTTTGAAGGCTTTGCTACACATATCCTTCGGACACTTGTACGGTTTCTCACCCGTGTGTGTTCTCAGATGGCTCTTCAGCCCATACCCTGCCCGGGAAAGAAATCACAGTTAATTTTATAACGAGAAGGAAGTAGTGGCAACCTGCGTACCCGCCCCAGTTCATGCATTTTGGAACGTGTCCTGTGTCTGCAGAGCTGAAGGGGAACACACAGCTCAGCTCCTTCCTGCAAATCCTTTAATCTGCCCATAATCAACCAAGTCCCGGGCAGTCTCCCACGCTGCAATTCCTTCTCAGAAGGCTTTAAAAGCTACGCTCTGCTGGAAGAAAAGCCAGGGCCGACGCTCAAGCGCGGCTGGCGCTGGGGAGAAAACAAAACTTTGCTCCGAGGAGGAACTGTTACCTGTAGCAAATGCTTTCCCACAGCTTGGGAAGCCGCACGTGTACGGCCGGTCACCTGTGTGGGCGCGCTCGTGTACCTGGAAAAGAAAGGACAGGGCCCTAAAGTTAGGTCCAAGACAGGGAGAAAGGAAAGCAGTGTGGAGCTATCTAGCTGGTGGAGAGAATCAGAACTTCTCCATTGGATTTCACCCTGGCCAACCAACACAGCCGGATCTCTCGGGGAGCCAAGCCCACAAGCCGGCCGGCAGCGTTCTGACCGGGCACTGTGACCGGGGACGGGTCTGCACTGCACCCCACGGGCCCGCACGGTACTGGCGTTACCTTCAGGTGGTGGGCTGTGGTATAGAGGCGGCCACAGCCTTTGTACCCGCAGCGGAAAGCTCTGCTGCCGGCCTGCTGCCCCTTCTCAGCGCTGTGCACCTCCTCCTCCTGCAAATCCTGCCAGGGAACACGTGGGAATTAGAGCCACTACGGTGGGCAAAGCCCACACAGATTACTTCCCTCCCTGCTACACTCACTCCTGCAGTTATCCTTACGAAACCACCTTCCCACACACGCAGCTTGTACGCGTGTCACGCAACCATCCGGTGCATAAAATCACAGTGACGGGGCAAGAGAACAGGGACCGGGATTCCCCATTCCCGCCTCCAGACACACTGGGTGTTCTCAGACACGCAGCTCCCCGCCCTGCGCTTCGCTCCTCTGCAAAACCTGCCGCTAACGCGCCTGCTAACCACACGGCAGTTTTAATTACTAGCTGGTGAAGCGCCCGAACCAAGTTCAGCCTGCTCCCAGAAACGTGTTTCTGAGGGATTCAGACCTGGGCAGGGACATCGCTGGAGCTCTTGCTCTTCGCGAGGCAAGTGTCTGTCAGCCCCTCCTCTTCCTCAGCGGACACCTGCAAGCAGAGGTGTGGGCACAGTTCAGACTCAGTCCTGCATCCAGCTGCGGAACCTCAACATCAGAAGGATAGAGACGGGTTGGAGCGAGTCCGGAGGAGGCCACGGAGATGCTCCGAGGGCTGGAGCCCCTCTGCCATGGGGACAGGCTGGGGGAGTTGGGGGGTTCAGCCTGGAGAAGGGAAGGCTCCAGGGAGACCTTATAGCGCCTTCCAGTGCCTGGGGGGGGCTACAGGGAAGCTTGGGGGGACTTTTTCCAAGGGCAGGGAGTGACAGGACAAGGGGTAACGGGTTTAAATTGAAAGTGGGGAGGTTTAGATTAGATATCAGGAAGGAATTCTTCCTGGAGAGGGTGAGGAGGCCCTGGGACAGGTTGCCCAGAGAAGCTGTGGATGCCCCATCCCTGGAAGGGTCCAAGGCCAGGCTGGATGAGGCTTGGAGCAACCTGGTCTATGGAAGGTGTCCCTGCCCATGGCAGGGGGGTTGGAACTAGATGATCTTTAAGGTCCATTCCAACCCAAACCATTCTATTCCAGTGACTGATCCTGCCCCCTTGTTCCCAATTTCCTCGCTACAAGCAGCCGGGGAGAAGACACAGCTCAGACAGCTGCCCCAGAATGACCGCAGGGTATTTTGTTCCGCAGCAAGTCATGCTCGGTATGTAAGCCAGGGGTAGGCCGGGGGGGGCCATAGGCTCATTGTTCGTTAGCTGGGGGGTCGGTTGTCTTTCTCGGTCAGGCTCTGGCTCATGGGGCTAGCTCAGACTCTGGCACGATCTCTCTCTCAGGCTCCCTGACTCTCACTACTCCGGACCTGGCTGTGTATTGGGCAGGTGGTGTGTATTGGTCAGCGGGTGGTGAGCAATTGTACCGTTTGTTTTCTCTTCCATTATTTTCAATACATATTATTGTTAGTATTATTAGCATTGTTAATATTATTAGTATCACTATAATATTAATTTATATCCAATTATTAAATTGTTCCTATTTCAATCCATGACCTTCCTTGTCTTTTCCTCCGATTCTCCTCCTCCACTGGAGAAGGGGGGAGGTGAGCGAGCGGCTGGGTAGTGTTTATTGCAAGCTGTGGTTAAACCACGACACTCAGCCACTCCTGACATGTAAAGGTCTTGCTTCGCTGCCTGAGTCATCTGCGGGAGAGAACATCACGCCCAGGAGGAGACCTCAACCCCAGGCCAAACGCGGAACACACCAGCCCCTCCGTGCTGCTGGCAGACCGTGAAAGAAGCGCTGCGCCCTCACCTTACTGGCATACTGCTTTAAGGCATTCATGGTCTCGACATCCAAGGCATCTTCCTCCTCCTCTCCAGCCAGCTCGGCTAGCCCAGTTTCTGCCTGCACTTCCAGGATGGTGCTGCCAGGAGGCACAGTGAGAGGATGGTGGATGTAGGCAGTGGAGCCATCCTCCAGCTGGACGGCCTCGAAGGTGCTGGGGTCATAACTTTCTGCAAGGGGGAACCAATAACATCACACGTAAAAGAGCTGCTGAGTGCGAGGCACTCCTCAACCCCCCGGCTACCTACAGCCGTGGGAATCTGTGACACACAGCAGCTCCTACTCCGACTGCCAAGGGAAGAACAGGGAACACGCTTTACCTTTAGCTGCGCTATGTAGGTAGGCCATGCTGCCATCGTCCAACACTACTGGCTGACCCTCTCCAAAAGCGTCAGACTCTAAAGTAAAGAAAATCCACACACCTTACTGGAAGACTCCGTGAGTTTCAAGAAACCTTTAAAGAACAGAAAAAGGAGGTGGCATACAAGGAGCTTGGCTGCCCCGAGCAAGAGTTCTTTCTACCTGACCTTTTACGCCTTACGGTGGCTGGGGAGGATTCCTCAATGCCCCGCTGGCTCCTGCTATGGGAAACGAATTCCCATCACCTCGCAGATTATTGAATGTCACCTCGTTTCGGAGGCCACATTGGCTGATGGGTCAATGCCCAAGATGACATTTCTTCCAGCAATCCCCACCCTCCCCCCAGCCAACACCTCTTCCCAAAGTAATACATCATCTCACAGTTCAGAGGAAATTCCTGTCCAACTGCTTCTAGATGAAACAAACTTGGTTTGGGCGCTGTAGCTGCCACAGACACAGCCCACAGCTTACTGGCCCTGCTTGTGGACTCGTGACCTGTCAGACTGACACAACCAACATTTGCTTACCCCAGCAGCAACTTTGCCACCTTGCCAGACTGCTAAAAACTTTGCAGGAAATCACACGTTCTACGTCCTTGCTCATTCAGCCTCAAAACCACAGGCAAAAAAAAAAAAA